CCCCTCGCACTAAGGTGGCTCCCTGCGCCTCGCCCTAAAGCCGGCTGCGCTCACTTCCTGCCGCTTCTGCCTCAGCTCTAGGACCGACTTGGGACATCACCGGGGACAGGACTATTGCCCTTGGCTAATCTTGGCCGGAGTCCACGAGGAGGGAGCCCCAAAGAAGAAGCGAAGTTGGAGAAGGAGGGGGGGGCGAGCTCAGTCACCAAAAGGAAGATTTTTCTGGCTTCAAACTGCGACCACTCAGAGAGACGCCGTCTTTCTCACTGGCCAATGATGAGTGGATGGTGTTTGCTTTCAGGAAGTAATGACCGCATAAGCTAATATATATCGAGCTGTTACTATGTACCAAGCACTCTACAAGCATAATTTTCATTTCCTTTTCACACATCCTTCCAAGCTCGGCTTATCGCCCCCACTACAGGTGAGTACATTCAGGGACCTGAAGTCACTTGTCAGACGTCACAGTCTCCCTTCTAGATGGATGCAAAATCCTGGAGACAATCAGTTCAGAGAGCTAAGATTAACAGAACTCCACGTGGAGGGCGAAGTCCTCAACGTCCACAGTAATGATAGCTGTGACCTGATTGCCTGGCAGACATGCGACAAGTGTAGGAGGCCAGTGAAAGTAGGTTCGGAGGGTTCTATAATATTTAATTTTAATTTTAATCCCCCCCCATTTTAAAGTTTATAACCAAAACCTGCACTGTCCTGTACAGCCCCTCCCTAATTCAAGTTAATTTCCAGAAATAAGCCTTTTAAATTCTTTCAACAGTTTTTTCCCCCCTGGTATTTACTCCACATTTCCAAATAATATTGCCTATATGCTGTTTCTTTCTTTTCTTTTTGTAACATTTTTATTGATTTATAATCATTTTACAATGTTGTGTCAAATTCCAGTGTTCAGTACAATTTTTCAGTCATTCATGGATATATACACACTCATTGTCACATTTTTTTCTCTGTGGGTTATCATAACATTTTGTGTATATTTCCCTGTGCTATACAGTGTAATCTTGTTTATCTATTCTACAATTTTGAAATCCCAGTCTATCCCTTCCCACCCTCCACCCCCC